TGCCGTGCCGTGGCGCTAGGCCTCAGCCTGTGCCGCGCTCGTGACGGTTTGCTCCGCAGCCTTGCGGAAAGCCCCGGGGCCCGTCGTTCTCCGGCGCGGGAGCCCCCTCCCCGCTACCCGGGCTTCTCCCGGGTGACCGCCGCGTTTCAGGTGTGCTGCGAACAGAAGCCGCTTCCTCCGCTCGGGGTGTCTGCGGCTGCGAGCGGGTGCTTGTGGTGTAGTTGCAGGGGGTTGGGGGGCCCCTTTGTGAAATGTCTGCCTCGCTGTACTATCCTAACCAGAGAAAAGAAACCTTGCTTTTGTAGTTATTATTCTTTAAAACAGGGGAGACTTCTTGGAGTCTTATGTGGGAATGAGGTGGTCGAGGTTCCTGCTTCAGCGGTGTGCGTGCCTGAGTGGATCGTTTCCTAGCCTGTTTCGGTTCATGTTACAACATTTTTTAAAACAACTTAAACTTTAAGCTACTTTTAAAATTCTGTGCTGTAAACTCTACCAGTTCAGGTGTTGACTAGTTCAGATAGTAGAGACTTGGAGGATTTTTGTTGTGTCCTTTAGCTAGACATGACAAAATAGTATCCCTACTTCCAAGTGTAAAATACACAAGATTCTTGGATACAAGCTGCTGTGTGACTGGAAATGGTAATTTTAAAATAACATAGAACTTAGATTAAACTTTGGGATTACTTAGTCCTTTGCTTGATTAACTAAAAAAAAAAAAGTGCTTCTGTTGGTTATATTGACCCATTAATATCAAAGTAGCAGTTTGCTGTTTCATACATGTTTAGCACGTGTCTCAGATAATGCACTTCTGAGGGATTCTGTCCAAAATAGATGTTCTAACTGGTGTATATACTGGCTTAAGTGATAAGCGTGACTTAATGGTCTTCGTCATTGTTCCTCCATTAAAACAGAAACTTTGTAAAATCCTCTAGTAGGACTGATAGGAAGCAACTAAAGAAACTTTTTCATCTGCAGTGTGAAAAAAATGGAGATGTCAAGAAGAGAAAGTCAAATCGGGCAGATATCCCTGATAGTCTTCGTCAAGAAGCAGAAACATGCTATCGACTTAGGCTGCCTGAAGACTTTTATCAGTTTTGGAAGTTTTGTGAAGAACTAGATCCTGAGAAACCAAGTGGTGGGTTTTAAAATACTTTTTGCCTTTTCTAACTTGCACTCTGAAAAACAGTCTGAAGGCAGGCAAACCAGAGGTGGTCAGATACATTCTAATGCTGCTTCGGTTTTCAATTAAGATGCAGGATATTTTACCTGAGTGTGAACAATAATACTGGAGATAATCACAAAGATGCTGGTACACTCCAAGCTTGCTAAAATATAATTACTGAAATCGTGTAGTACAAAGGGACTAAATATTGTCTAAATCTGCCTTTCTTGCAAGTACCTTTAAAATGTTTAGTAGGGAACTGAAGTTTCCTCATATAAATCCAGGTTTCAGCTTCCTCAAATTTATTATATAACAATGTGGCATCTCTAGGTGCTCTAGAAATGAGTTTCATTTGGAATCATAGAATGGTTTGGGTTGGAAGGGACTTCTACAGGGCGCCTAGTCCAACCCCTCTGCAATGATCAGGGACATCTTCCACTAGATCAGGTTGCTCAGAGTCCAGCCTGACCTTGAATGTTTCCAGGGATGAGGCATCTACCATGTCTCTAGGCAACCTGTTCCAGTGTTCCACTACCCTCAGCGTAAAAAATTTCTTCCTTTTATCTAGTCTGAATCTATCCTCTTTCAGTTTAAAAGCATTACCACGTGTCCTATCGCAACAGGCCCTGCTAAAAAGTCTGTCCCCAGCTTTCTTATATGCCTTCTTTAAGTGTTGAAAGGCCACAATCGGGTCTCCTTGGAGCCTTCTCTTTTCCAGGTTGCACAACCCCAACTCTCTCAGCCTTTCCTCATGCCCCAATCATTTTGTGACTCTCCTCTGGACCTGCTCCAAGAGCTCCACATCCTTAAGTTGGGGGCCCCAGAGCTGGATGCAGTACTCCAGATGGGATCTCACGAGAGCAGAGTAGAGGGGCAGAGTCACCTCCCTCGTGCGGCTGGCCATGCTTCTTTTGGTGCAGCCCAAGATATGGTTGGCTTTCTGGGCTGCAAGTGCACATTGTCGGCTCATGTCTAGCTTTTCACTCACCAGTACCGCTAAGTCCTTCTCTGCAGGGCTGCTCTGAATCCCTTCATCCCTCAGCCTGTATTGATACTGAGGATTGCCCTGACCCAGGTGCAGGACCTTGTGTTTGGCTTTGTTGAACCTCCTGGGGTTCCCAAGAGCCCACTTCTTGAGCTTGTCCAGGTCTCTCTGGATGGCATCCTGTCCCTCAGGTGTGTCAACCCATCCACTCAGCTTGGTGTGGTCTGCAAACTTGCTGAGGGTGCACTCAATTCCACTGTCTGTGTCACTGATGAAGATATTAAACAGTACTGATCCCAATACAGACCCCTGAGGGATACTGATTGTCACTGCTCTCTGAATATTGAGTGTTTGACAAGTACTTCTTTTATTCAGATAGCTTTTATTTAAAAGTTAGGTTGTACTTCTCATAAGAACATCTCAACTTTCCTTGTCTGGTAAACAGTGTTTGACTGTTTGGATTTATGGCAGCTTTTGATACCTGAGTGATACAGGAACTTCTTGGTTTAGATACGTACCCACCAGAAAGTAAACCAGTTCATGCTTTGCTTTTCAGATGCACTTGTGTCAAGTGTTGGACTTACACTGGTTGGGCCGTATGATATTCTGGCTGGAAAACACAAAAAAGCAAAATCAACAGATCTGAACTTCAATCTTCATTGGAGATTTTTCTATGATCCCCCAGAATTCCAGACTATACTTGTTGGGGATATCAAAACACAGTATCACATGGGATATTTCAGGTATTTTATTTCATATATGCTCTTGCTGGACTATAATTATGTGTAGCTTTTTCTCCTCTGTTTTCCATGAGACAGGATTTGAGAACTGTGTGCTATCACCAAACAAGAATCTTTCTCTTCTTTAGTAGGATATTAACACATGGGTTGATATCTTTTATTAAAAAAAGATCGAAGATACTGGAGTTGAAGACTAGATTTAAATATTTATTAAACTACTTCTCCCAACCCTGCAGAACACCTTCATTTATTAATCTTTAAGTTTGGCCACAATACTCAGAAGAAAAAGCCAAGCCTTAGGAAATAAAGGAAACGTGTATATTCTCTCTGCATGTATTGATACGAGCTCCTTTCAAAGCTGTGCTGTAAGATTTTTTTTTTTTTTATAGAGCTTTAGATCTAAGGGTATTTCTTGTTAGGTTTCTGAAAGAGATGGCAGCATGGTGAGGAGGCAAATTAATTTTACTTTAAAATAGGAGAAATGAGCACAGCTTGACTATTTGTGTATACTTTTTCATAAACAGGGATGTGCCAGATGAGCTTCCAGTGTGGGTTGGTGCAAACGAAGCTAAGAAGGGCTGTGTGATTTCACAAGTTGGTGATAACGTCTTTGCTGCAGTCAAGTAAGGTTCATATTTACTTCTATTTATAAAAAGTAGAGTAGAAGAGAAACTATTAATCTGAAGATGTGATGTGGAATAATGCAGCTAACTCTTGAGTCTTTCCTTCTCAAGAAACCCTCACTTATTATCTGCTTCTGCTAGCAAGTTTAATGGTACTCTGAAGAGCCTTAATAGGCTTCTTGACAGTGTTTTGCTTTTACAGGTTAAATAGATAAGTGTTAATTATCTCATTCTTTAAATATATTGGAAGGGATAGAATCTGGGGGGGGGGGAAACCCCTGACCTCATTGGGTGTATTAAAATACTTTATTAAGTAAAGAAAGGGCATCCCAAACAGTGGTGAAGGAAATCTGAACATCGTACTAAATAAGCAGCATCCAGCTCTTGTTCTTGCCTATGTGAGAGTAGGATATTTTTGTATATGATGAATAACTACAAGTACCACCACTTCTGGCCTGGGGCAGGATAACGTTTATATGGATGTGTAATTCAGTATGATTCATGGAGCTTTACATGGTCCTGCATCGTGAATGTAAACAACAGATTTTTATGACCTGTCAGTTAAAAATGGAAGGCTCTCTAAGGACAGACGTGTGTCAGTAAGTGAAAGCATACTGAAGAAAAGCTTTTGCAAAAGAACCCTTGTGTAGTGCAGAGTTAAACGAGGACATCTGTGTCGAAAGCACCATGATGAAACTCATAAATATGTATTTATGTGCATGACTTGCATGACAAATAGTGTACACGGCACTGAAGCAGCAAACTGAATTCTTAAGATAGAAAGATGAACAGCTACCGAGTCCAGGAGAATCTTCAGCTCCTGCAGATTGCATAAGGTATAGAGTAATGCAAATGCAGATAGGAAGTGCCAAAGCACTGCCTGTGCCAAGCTCGTTTTCTTTCTTCTTGTTAAGAGGCTTGCATTCCCAAGTCTGGGTGCATAAATAAACCCACGACTGCTAATCTTCATTATAAGATTTGGAGGTTTAGCGATTAGAAGGGTATTCATTCTGTTTGTTTTCTGTTAAACTCCCTTAAGACATGTTCCTTCTGTTTGCAGGTTATTTTTGTCAAAAAAACTTAAGGAACTGACTGATAAAAAGAAAAATGCTATTTTGAAAGACATAGATGAAAAACTGACAAGGACAGCAAAAGAGCTGGGTTATTCTCTGGAACAAAAAACCACGAAGATGAAACAGAGAGATAAGAAAGTATGACTACTTTCCTGATCCACTGGAGAAAACCGAGTTCTGTTAAACTTTCTTCATTTACTTGCCTGTTGTTTTAATTTTTTTTTTATTTCTCCTCCTAGTCAATAAGAAGATGGTTCACTTAGGAATTCCCAGAGCTAATCAGCTCTCTCTATAAAACTTCAAGAGAAGGAAAATTAATACAAGTGTGTTCCAAATAAAAGAATTAAATCAAAACACTTCACTCTAATTGAATGCCAAGCTGTGGCTTATTAAAAAGAAAAAAAGGAAAAAAAGGGGAAATGGTCTAAAAACTAAACCAAATGGGAAGCATGGAGAAACATGCTTTGAAGTGAAGCTTCATGTGAACAGTTAGGTTGGATCTATTGGAAATGGGAACATTAAGGATGATATGGATTAGTAATAGAGGTTTTTTGCAGACCTATCAAGTAATTATGGCAGGAGGTGACTAAACAAATGTACAGTGCTATGCAAGTGACTACAAGGATTCCTAGATTTCAGAGCTTGGCTGTAATGGAGTTTCCATTTATTTTAAACTTTAGTACTTAAAAGTAACTGCTATATACTTTAAAACTAAGTTGCTGTCCTGGAGCCTGGAAACTATATTAAGTTTGACCACCAGCAGTTGGGCGTGAATGTTGTTCAGTGAGGTTTTATGTCGCAGTATTGACTTGCAGTGCTGTATTCCTTTTCCTGTCTCTTTATTTAGGTGGTGACCAAAGCGTTTCATGGAGCAGGCTTAGTTGTTCCTGTAGACAAAAATGATGTCGGGTACAGAGAGCTTCCCGAAACAAATGGTAAATACCTCTTTTACTATATTCTTTTGCTTTACTTAAGTAAACGACCTTCAGTCACACAGCTACTCTGCAAAAACCAAACTGCATTCGTATTTCCTACTTGAAGAATATGAGCAGTGGGACTAAAAGGCAGAAGTCTTAACCATCACACTTGAGCTCAAAAGTATTTTCTTGAACTGAACCAGATGAGCATTAATGAACCACGCTAAATCTGAAATAAGAATTCCTGAAGTAGTAGTTTAGACAATCCTCTTTTCTACAGGCACAGCCATGCAAAAAGTAGATCCAAAGAACTGATCTACATTCAGAGATTTGTGGGTTTATTTTTTTTATTCCCTCTCTCCTCCCAGTGTTCTAACCAGAACCAGTTCCTTGATGCAAGTTCATCACACAAATGCTTGTCTCTGTGTGGGGAACTGAGACGGATGGGCACGGGGCAAGAACGAGCAGTAAAGGAAAGGGGGAAGCATTTTCACCAGCAGCCCAGGGTGTGCCCACTTAATCTTGATGTGTGACACATGGGTATCTTTTTGCCACAAACTACTTCTGTACGATACTAAATTTCTTTATTTAAACATCTAAATATTTCTGCTTTTGTTTATTGCAGCTAATCTTAAAAAAATTTGTAAGGCCATTGTTGATGCTCCTACTGATGATGAGAGACTGAAGGCCTTTGCGCCCATCCAAGAAATGCTCACCTTTGTTCAGTTTGCTAATGACGAATGTGACTATGGAATGGGATACGAACTGGGTATGGACCTGTTTTGCTATGGATCACATGTGAGTACTACAACAATCACACTTAACAAAATTATGCGTTATGTTATGTGTGGACTGGGAGTTTTTCAGTGTCATAGATCTTTATTCCCAACTGTATTGCACAATTATCCCTAGGAATCATGAAAGTCTACAAGACTATTCTTAATTTGTGAAGACTGTTTAAAAAGTCACGCTTATGACACCATTCCATATGGAAGCACAGTCTTGTAATCCAGAAGCATCAACTGTTATTTGTTGTGCGTAATACAAGGAGCTGTTATTAGACTCCTAAAAATGCAGAATGTCGGATCCAGATAGCCCCCTATCCTCAGCTACCTGTATGGGTGCAAGTGCTCATGTTCAGCTGGATCTGGAAACACACTGATGTTTGTAGTAACCCCTGCAAAAAAAAAAAAGGAACCTCAGTCAGTCGGCTACCTACACTGCCTGTATGGCTGCATAAGAGTTCCCAGCAGCTAGCTGCATCTCTGAATTTCTAATCTCTCTCTGGTTCTGTGTTAACAAAGAATATCACAAATAAGCTGACTGACTTACTAGCACTTAATCACAAGCAAAGAAACTTGTTCTACTTTGTTCTTTACTAGCCACTGCACCCTTGATGAAAAGGGTCATGTCTGTAATAAATATATGGCTAGGAAATAACACATAAAGAAGCTTCAACATGTAAGTGTAATATGAACAGATGGTCATCGAAACACCCATGCAAAATAGCTTCTTTTAGTAAAAACAGTATTGCCTGAGGGGTGCCCTGAAGCATCATGTAGAAAGATAAAAAGCTTTCAATACTAAAAGTAGGCCCAGAAAAGTTGTGCTAAACGCTAGTTAAAATATTTAGCCACTGAAATGAAGGACAACTCACTGCTCTGTCTGTACTCTCTTAAAACTACTAATGTGTTTCTTTTATTTCCTGCCCTGCTCTCGTCAGCTCCCTACAGCATCTGAGAATGTGCTGTATTTTCCTCTGCTATCCTGCTTATCTGGACTCTTTCTCCACTGACTAAGCTGCTTCAGCTGCTTAATTCCTTCCTGCATCTGGAAGGGCTGTGAAGGAAACAGTTAACTTCTAGCTGGCTGAGTAGGAGGAGGCAAAAGCCTGTCTTTCATGTTTGGTGCTGCTCCGCATGCGAGATTAACCACAGACAAACTTGTGCAATGAGTAATTCACAGCATTGTGACGTGGCCTCATACCCATCTTCTGCAGCAATTTGACACAGCTGTAATTTTGCAGCTGTTTTCTGAAAATAGACACCTTACTTCATGTTCTGGTTTAGCAATCAGAAAAGAAAAATGGGGTTCATACCTAATTATTTAGGTTGGGTCCCAGCGTTTTTGCCTGTCTGTAGATGCCCAGAGCTTTCCAGTTCTGACCCGGGCTCTGCACGCAGCGCCAGAACAAGTGCAGACACATTCACTACCTGTAGCCTCGGACACAGAAAATGACTTCAGCCTCTTTGCCCTCACAGGAGGGGTGCAGTGGGCTCACGCATACACTGACTGTGGCAAATGCTAAACGTGCTCTGGCTTTCATATGTTTGAAGCCGTTAAATGGTGACTGAGTGCCAGGGTGCTCCCCTCGAGCTGTGCACGGTGACAACACGTGGGCCCTCAGCTGCAGGTGCGACAACCCCGTGCCTTAACAATGGTTCCCGGCTCCTGCATTGCTAAAACCAGATTTCCTTCTCTTGCCGCAGCATGCTGTTCAGGCGGACTGACCTCGGTGCG